CTAAGATTTTTTTTTAACAAAAATATATATAATTTCTTATTTAAAAAAATATTTTATATTGGTACAAGTAAATATATTATTAGTGCCTATTGAATAGATATATATTTTTTTTAGATATTTTTTTTTCTCAATGTATTTCAGTGACACATCTTAGTTATCACAGCTGCATTTTAGCTGCCGCTATATGCTATATTTTAATTAATCCTTTTTCTATGCGTGTACTAAATAAATATATCGCGTACGTTTATTTACAACGTGCGGACACTACCGAGTTGTACGACGGCGAATTCTCTGTTTTCTCCTCCCCTCTGTAATAACATTTGACATTCCGTTTACACGACATCACGTCACGTCAGTGTCAGACGTGGACAACGTATAAATTGGCCGCGGTAAATAAATAACGTAGTGGCTTCGATTGAAAATAAAATTCGCGCGACGCGTTCCCGGAACGTACTCTCTCTTTCTCTCGGCGAGTACTTCGGGATTCCTACGTCGAACGTCACGAATTCATTAAGTGACGAATTATTGAGACCGATCGTCTGGTTAAGCTCGACTCTGACGTCTTTGTTGCTAAATAAAGAACGACCGGGTGTCGTGACACCGATACTATAATTTCCCGAGGAACAAAAAGAGACGTATCGAAAGCTGGTGATGGAGGGTGAGAGGAAAGAGGCTCGTAGATACGAAAACACGTAAGCGCTTATCGTCACGGTATCTATTTCATGATTAACCTCAACTCTCGTCTGTCCTGCTCTCCCATCAATTATTTTCTCTGATACGAAGTATGTAAGCATCCAAGCGTACGCTCAGTCCCACGGCTGCCTTTTATATTCGATAAATCAGAAGTTACTGAAAATTTTCGGCCAGCCACATTTGTTTCTCATTCCGTCACTCTTAATCCAAAAAAAAAACACGTTCCCGCTTTCTGGACTAATCAATAGTCATGAGACATGCATAGCTAGAAACGTATGCGATTGTTCGAAAACTTTTAGTAAGTATCGATCTATCGAACTATCGATAATGTTAAGACATTCGCGGGTCTGAGCGTACAGACGGCGTTGCTGTCGCTCACAAAGTTTCGGCGTCGTGAATTGCGCGGCCATCTTCGATTCTGTTGCATCGAGCAGTCAACTATCGCTCCGCATTTTACGTGTTTTTCGTCCGTCAAAAGTGAGTCTCACGCGAAAATAAGCATTGGGAATGTCGAAAATAGCGATGTGCGATCGCCAGGAAGTATCGCAAAAGTACGTTATTATGGAATAATCCTCTCGCTGCTCGGTATATTCAACCGGTGCTTGTTGGGACGTGTCGGGTCTTTTATACTTGTTATCATTATCGACTCATTAAAGTAACTATAGAGTCGAACGATTGTCAGAGTTATTAATTGAAAATTAGAAATCCGGAGATAATTAGAGGGAAAGAGAAAAATGAAATTACACTAGAGATACACGCGACGCGAATCTCGGGTGGTAACGTCGATCTGTTAACAACAGTGAGAGATAAAAGTGTACATATATCATAAAGCGCGTCATTGTAGGACCGCAACAGCGTTCACGTCGTTGCGCGAATTTTCGGCGTTCGCAATCGATAGCGCTGCCATCTTGGATATCGATTTACTTGCGCCCAACAACCGCCATTGTCACATCAGTCGCTTCCCGCGTTTTGGCGTCTTCTGTTTGTCAAAAGTGAGTCTCGCGCGAAATTAAGTATCGAGAATATGGAAAATAGCGGCGTGCGATCGTCAGAAAATGTTGTAAGTGCATTATTATAGAGTAATCCTCTGGTTCCTTAGTATGTTCAACCGATGTTGTCGCGACGTGCCGACTCGGCGTCCTTAATATTTATTATTGCTATCGACACATCCAAGTAGTAAAAGAATCGGGCGATCGTCGCGAATTTATTAGTCAGAAATTAGAAATGCGATGATAATCAGGGAGAAAAAGATAAAATTAAATTTGTCGGGTTTTTTCACTCTCGAATGTTCCTTCCTCCTCCTCCTTCGAACTATAACCGCGCGTTGTTTCTCCTGCAAAATATTAAATCTTTAATCGATACAATGATCGACATCGCCGGTACAAGCGTAGCGACTTGTCACACGTCACCAAATTCCACCCGCGTTTCTCACACCCCCGCGATGACACGGAGGTGCCGTGAACTTAGCGGGGGATACGGAATACGCGGCGGAACGCGGTGTAGCACGTATGTACTAACCGCGAGAAGGGCAAGAGAAAAGGAGAGAACACGAGAAAGAGAATGAGTGGGAGAGAGAGAGAGAGAGAGAATCTGCGCGCGGATGCATGCCCGCCGGGACGGAAAGGGACGAAAAGCGACGAGCACCGCCGAGACGAGACGAGACACGACGAGGAAAGACGACGAGGGCCGACGAGGGTCGCGCACCGCGGCGCTGAACGCAGTGCCATCCGATAGGCAGCACCGCTTGCTCCGCGGATCTTCGGCTCGCTCCGGCTCGAGCTCTCTCTACGCTCGTTCAAGCACCGCCACGCTCGCACCGCCTCCTCTCTTTCTCTCTTTCTGCTCCTATTCTCTGTCTCACTTTCTCTTTTCTTTCTCTCTTTCTCGACCTCTTACCTATACATTCTCTCTCTCATTCTCTCTTACTCTTGTTATCGGCGTGGCGCGACCGCGGCAGCCGCGACGACGACGAAGGAAAAGCCGAGCCGCCGCGGGTGGAAAACGCGTGCAGCGAACCTCGCCTCGCGTGTGTCGGCGGCCGCGTGTGTCGCGCGCAAGCATATCTGAGAACGTGTGTGAGCGCTCGGCGCGCCGCTCCGCTCGCCCACTCGCCGCGCTGCGTGTACGTTGTCGTCCCTCGTCGCGCGACCGAAGAGAGGAGGCTCCCTTCCCCCGACCTGGACGCGCGGCAGTCTGTATGGTGCGTGTGTCTACCTTCTTTCTCCCTCTGCCTACGTGTATCTACATCTATCTATTTGTTTATCTGTCTATGCTGTGCTCGTCTTCTGCTTTCCTCTCTCTCTCTCTCTCTCTCTCTCTCTCTCTCTCT